TGTGTGTGTGTGTGTGTGTGTGTATACCACATCTTCTTTATCCATTTTTCTGTTGATGGACATCTGGGCTCTTTCCATAGTTTGGTTATTGTGGACATTGCTGCTATAAACATTGGGGTGCATGTGCCCCTTTGGGTCATTACCTTTGTATCTTTGGAATAAATACCCAGTAGTGCAATTGCTTGGTCATAGGGTAGCTCTATTTTCAACTTTTTTGAGGAAATTCCATACTATTTTCCAGAGTGGCTGCACCAGCTTGCATTCCCACCAACAGTGTAGAAGGGTTCCCCTTTCTCCGCATCCTCATCAACATTTGTGGCTTCCTGACTTGCCAATTTTAGCCATTCTAACTGGTGTGAGGTGGTATCTTGTGGTTTTGATTTGTATCTCCCCGATGCTGAGTGATATGGAGCATTTTTTCATGTGTCTGTTGGCCATTTAGATGTCTTCTTTGGAGAAATGTCTGTTCGTGACATCTGCCCATTTTTTGACTGGATTATTCGTTCTTTGGGTGTTGAGTTTGATTAAGTTTTTTATAGATTTTGGATGCTAGCCCTTTATCTGTTAAGACATTTGCAAATATCTTCTCCCATTCTGTCAGTTGTCTTCTGGTTTCGCTGTTTCCTTTGTTGTGCAAAAGCTTTTTATCTTGATGAAGTCCCAATAGTTCGTTTTTCCTTTGTTTCCCTTGCCTTTAGAGAAGTGTCTAGCAAGAAATTGCTGTGGCCGAGTCCAAAGAGGTTGCTCCCTGTGTGTTCTTCTCTGGGATTTTTTTTTTTTTTTTAAGATTTTATTTATTTATTTAACAGAGATCACAAGTAGGCAGAGCAGCAGGCAGCAAGAGAGGGAGAAGTTGGCTCCCTGCTGAGCAGAGAGCCCAGTGTGGGCTTGATCCCAGGACCCTGAGATCATGACCTGAGACAAAGGCAGAGGCTTAACCCGCTGAGCCACCCAGGCGCCCCCTCCTCTAGGATTTTGTTGGATTACTGTCTCACATTTAGGTCTTTCAGCCATTTTGAGTTTATTTTTGTGTGTGGTATAAGGCAATGGTTCAGTTTCATTCTTCTGCGTGTGACTATCCGATCTTCACATGGGTCTGTTCTTGCGGAGTGATACACGTCTCTCTCTTCAGAATTCACCGAGCCCTGGTTGTACCCATAGTGGGGGTTATAGTCAGTGGTCATGAAAGGCAGTGAGAACCAGGAAAGATCCTGGAGCCAAAGCTCTAGGAGGAGAATGGCAGGGACCTCAGTGAGCTTACCCCAGCTTTCTCTTTTTCTTCCTCTCTTCTCTCACCCTTGGGGTCACTGTTAGCAGGGCTAAGCCATTGGCCACCAGGACTGCAGATGGGTTGGTGGCCTGAGGTTTAGAGCAAACAATTGTCCAGAAGTCCTTGAAGGCTGGTGGCAAGATGACCCAAGGAACAGCAGCACACTGTCTCACCCTCTTCCTTCCTGATCCTGAAGCTTGGGGACTGAAGGGGGGAAGTGGCCTCCACCTGACTAGCAGTGCATGCAGAGCTAAGTGTCCTGGGCTAGATGAGGGTCCCATCTTTTACAGGTGGGGTGTCTGCCTGGAGATGGGCTTTCTCATGAAGGTTTTAGGGTGCTAGTGGGAAGAAGTCAGAATAGTAGCTTCTGGAACTCTAGCTCCTTCGAGGGGATTCCGGGAGCCACCCTGTCTCTGCAGTGATGCCTGCAGATGGCTTTTTAAAGGCCATGGGCACAAAATCCCACCGTTAAGTAATCTTTCTTAAGATTCTTCCTCTTTACTTTCTCTTTCAAAATGTAAATACTCCTAAAAGAGTAAAACATTTATAAATTCACACTTCTACAAGTGCCCCTGGGAGCAAGAGGAGACAAACAGCCTTTCTGGAGCCAGCAAAGGCCATCCAGGCACAGAGAACATCTGTAGAGTGGCTCATGCATTTGCAGGGAAAGCTCTTTGGATTCGGGCAATAACCCCATGAGGCTGCTAGGATGAGTATTATCATTTCCTCCTTTCACACCGAAGAAAACCAAGGCTTGGAAAAGTGACTTGAGCAAGTGCTCCAGACAGTGTGCTCCTGCCGCTGGGAGCTCCCTGTGATTTCTTCCCACCGGTCCCATCGGCCCGCAGAGGTGTGGCACAAATACCCAGGCCTGGCATGCTTTGAAATGGGTCCCCTCTCCCTGAGGGCCGGCCCCCCCAGGACTCAGAGATCACTGCCTTCCCTGTAGCCACCCTCTGTGTCAGGGCCTGTGTGAGGGGCTGGAGGACAGGGAAGATGCGGGCTGTTCTCCATGCTATGGGTCTATGGGACCCGATGCCCCATCTTGAGGTCAGATGACAGAGCACATGCCCACAGCGTGACTCACGGTCCTTCTGTCTGCAAGAGGCCAAATTATATGTTATTAATAAAGCCTCCATGGCCGTCAAAGCCACTGGGGACGGGGAGGGGAACAGCTTGCTCTGAGCCATGTCCAGTAACTGTAGCCGGAGGCCTGTCTGTCTCGCATGGCTAGGGAAGTGGAGTGAACCTAGAAGACCCCCAGGTCTGAAGTGTCACCCTGAGACCCCATTCATAGCGTTGCTCTATCTCTCTCCCCTCTCCTCATCCCATTCTACTCCCCTTTCAGAGCTTCTCTTAAAATGAGAACGTCCCCCTATTGTCGGAAAATGCCCTTCCCTTCCCAGACTTTTTTTTTTTTTTAAGATTTTATTTATTTTTTTTTTTTAAAGTTTTTATTTGTTTCTTTGTCAGAGAGAGAGAGTGCAAGGAGGGAGAGAGCAGCAGGCAGAAGGAGAAGCTGGGAGAAGCAGACTCCCCCACAGGGCAGGGAGCCCGACGTTGGGCTCGATCCCAGGACCCTGGGATCATGACTAGAGCCGAAGGCAGGCGTTAACTGACTGAGCCACCCAGGTGCCCCTAAAGATTTTATTTACTGAGAGAGAGAGAGAGAGAGAGATTGAGAGAACAAGTGGGGGGAGGGGCAGAGGGAGAAGCAGTTTCCCCAAGGAGCAGGGAGCCCGACGCAGGACTTGATCCCCGGACTTGATCCCAGGACACTGGGATCGTGACTTGAGCTGAAGGCAGACGCTTAACCAACTGAGCCACCCAGGCGTCCCCTGCACGCCTTTCTACCGGTAGCTCAGTAGGAACTCCGTAAATGAACACGCCTTCAAGTGTAAACGAAATATCAACTCTGTCTTCAGTCTGGATGAGGAGTAGAGATCACAAAGCCCTCTTCCCAGCCCTGCCCTGAGGAGCCTCTCTACAGCTTCCCCACTGCACACCTCTGTTCAGTGCACACTACACACCTATGTCTGCATGTGAGGCATGCCCTGGCTGTGGGCGGTGGGTGGCTGTTCCATGGGTGACGTGGGCCCTGGGCGTGCCCTGTGTGGAAGCAGAGGGATGGGGTGAGGGCTCTGGGGACCAGGAAGCCCCAGGGCTAGGCCGTGACTGGGTGCTAGACAAGAAGAGCAGGTTGGGGTGGGAGCTCTCCCTCAGCCCCCATTTTTGCTCCTTTCTTGGTCAAAGTGACCAGAAGCCACACACAGAGGTTTGGGGGTCTGAAGAGCGCCAGGTACGGAGGGAGGACCCAACAAGGCCTTGACTCAGATCTCTGCTAGGAGGTAGGCTGAGGGGGTGAAGAGGCACCGCGGGAAGAATGTCCTGGGGACCGGTAGGTGGCTCAGGAGGGGCGGGGTGAGGGGTGCCGAAGTAGGAGGACCCAGGCAGGGACTCTAGTTCCCGCCCTGCCATATCCTCATTAGGTCAACCCCGGGCACCTCAGGTCATCCTGGGCACGTCAGGTCACCCCTGTGCGCCGCAGCTCCTCCATCTGCACAATGGGCCGAGCAGCGAGCCCTGCCCGGGACGGGAGGTAACCGGCTGGCCCTGGCGCGGGGTCACCTGCGGAGGGCGCTGGGCGCCGCGGGGCCCGCCTGGATCGAGGGCTGCGGCTACGGAGGGCGGGCGCGACTCGGGGACAGCCTGTGAAGTCCCCGCCCCGGTCTCCGAGCCCTGCCTCCGCGGGTCGCCAGCGCGCGGGCTGTCCTCCCCGCTGCCCGCGGCGGGCGCTGGCTGCCAGGACGGGCCGGGCTCCGCGCAGGCGGGCTGGGCAGGCGGGACGCGCTGCGCCGGGGCCTCTGGGAGGAAGCGAGAGACGCCGGCAGCCCGGGGGGAAGGCCCAACCGGCTCCGCCGCCCCTCGCCACCGACCGGGCCGCTGCTCGGGGCGCGCGTGCTGCGGGGAGTTCGCCCCCGGACCCGGAGGACCAAACGGGTGCGCTGAGCGGTGGGCATGCCGGCCGCCTCCCCCCGTGGGCTCTGACGCCAGCGGGAACCGGGAGAGCTGTTTGGGACCCAGTCTGTGCGTGTGTGGAGGGGGAGGGGAGCTCTGGACCCCTGGGAGCACAGCCCCTGCACCCTTCCTGGGGCGCCCCCTCCTTTCCTCTCTGGCCCGCTGAGCTCTGGTGATTTTGGAAATTGCCTTCGCCATCGCCCCACCGGCCTGGCGAGTCCCATTTTTTTTTTTTTTTAAGATTTTATTTATTTGACAGACAGAGATCACAAGTAGGCAGAGAGGCAGGCAGAGAGAGAGAGAGAGAGGAGAGAGAGAGAGAGGAGGAAGCAGGCTCCCCGCGGAGCAGAGAGCCCTTTGTGGGCCTCCATCCCAGGAGATTGGGATCATGACCCTAGCTGGCAGAGGCTTAAACCCACTGAGCCACCCAGGCGCCGCGCGGCAAGTCCCATCTTGAGGCAGTGGCCGGGGAGCCGGTTTGATCCCACTGAGCTGGTTTTCCCAGCTTCCCAGGGCCCTCTCTTCACCTTTCTCCAACCTCTGGGACCTCTGCTACGAGCCCCAGCCCCTCCACTGGTTGGTCCTACTGGCGGATGGGCTCAGGGCAGCCGATTTTCCTAGAGCCTGTCCTGCCCTTGAGGAGCCACTTCTCCGTGGACACCAGGTGCCAAATAGCAGCACTCCATGTAAGGGGCATCAGGAGAGACTTCCCCGGGGAGGGGGCCTTTGAGCAGGGTCTTAAAAGATTGTGTAGCATCCTGATAGGGGAGAAAGGCCGTTCCAAGTCCAAGTGTATAAACAAAGTCAGTAAAGTGTAAGCATGAATTTGGGGAGCCTGGCAAATGAAGTACAGGTTGGGGGCAAACTCCAAAAAATAGCTTGTGTGGGCAGGCAGGGGGTTTGGACCCTACAGGTAACCTAGGATTTTAGGGAGGTGATGGGTGGTGGGGGTGAGGGATTGCGATGGGGTGGGGCGAGACTGAAGGCAGAGGCCGGGGTCCCCCAGAAGTCCACAGAGGGCCTAAGGTAGCACAGGAGGGGCATAGGGACCATGCAGTAGGACCAGGCTGGCAAAGCACTGGAAGAAGGGATTAGTAGGACTGTTGCAGCTGCATGAAGGAGGGGAGAAAGGGTTTGAAGACCAAGAGCTCAGGTTCCTAGTATAAATGTGTGATTGGGAAGATAGGCAGTAAAGGAACAAAAAGGGGAGGCAGGTGAGGAGTATATGTGCGGAGCTTAAAGCATGGGCAGGATAGCCACGTGGAGATGTCAAGTAGGAAGCTCATTCTTTCATTTATTTATTATTTATGCCAACCTCAAAGGCAGCTGACATAAAAGTCACAGAGAAGATAAGATGATAAAATCATTAAAACTCAGCTAATAGGACCTGATAGCTGGGGAAAAAAAAACACAGAGGAGAGTGGATAATTGTTACTTGAAAATGTAGGTTCAGAAAAGCCATTGGAAATGAACACAGGACTCATCTGAGCTTGCTGGCCGCCAAGCAAAAAAAAGGACACCTAAATAAAGCAGCAGGGCAGCAGGGCTGGGACTCAGGAGCAAGGCAGCTGTGGAGGCTCAGCGGGAGACGCAGAGGTGGTAGGAGGTACAATGGCATCCGGAAAGTGGGGGATTTAGGAGAGGGAGTCAGTCCAAAGACCAGCGGGGCCAGGGCACTGGCACTGCTGACATTTAAGAAAGGGCCGATGCTCCCTGAGGAGAAAGACCTTTTTGCAGCCTCACAGGAAGGTAGGGGTGGGAAGGGGTGTGTGTGTGTGTGTGTGTGTGTGTGTGTGTATGGTCCCTTCACAAAAGTCTTCTTGCAGAGGAACAGGACAGAAGGTGACCTGCTAATTGCCCTGAGCTTTGACCTTCTTCCCTACCATGAGGTGGGGCCGCTATTTGCCCAGGGCCTTGTGGGGCTCTGGTCTGAGAGGAGCGCTCCAGTCTGCAGGTGAGCTGGAAGCAGGGGTTTCTGTTTCTGCCTCTCCTTTCAGAGTCCAGATGGTGTCTCCAAGAGAGCAGGGATCCAGACACCAGGTGTTCTGGCCCTAGCTCTGCCATTCACATGCCGCTGGCCTTGGGCAAGTCACCTCACCTGCCTGAGGTTCCCTTTTTCTCATCCTAAACTAAGGGAGTCAAGCTAGATGATCTTTGAGGGTCCCCGTAGCTACATGAAGTCTAGGATCACTTGTCTGATCTCATTTTGCATTCAAAAATATTTATTAAGTGCGTGCTATGTGCCAGACCTTGTACTAACTTCTAAGTATGTAATTATAAACAAAAATAGATGTGGTCCCTGCTCTCGTGGAGGGGGATGGGGCAGAAATGAATGTTAATCAAATAATCACACGAGATATAAAATTGCGTAGTAACTGCTACAAAGGGGCAGTATATGATGCGATGAGAACAAGTGACGGGAGATTTGATATAGATGTGAAGTCTGCGTGTCAGTGGGGAAATATGGGTGGGATCTGAATGTTCTTTCTTTCTTTCCCTTTCTCTGTATAGATGAACGAATCCCCTTCCTGATCCACTGGAGTTGGCCCCTTAAAGGGAAGCTGCCCCTTGGGCTCCCTAGGTGAGACCTTGGGACACATCTGGGCACAGCAGAGTAGCCTGGGAAGGGTCAGGACTTGGAGAGAACTTGACTCCCACCCCCCAGGGTGAGGTTGGTTTTCTGGGAGTGAGGAGGGTACAGAGTCAGCTGCCAGGCCTCAGAAGAAGTTGGTTTACTTTATCTACAGTGTATGACAGTGGGCAGCCAGAGGGAGGATCTGTGGGGGAAATGGGTGGAGCCTGGCAGTGGCCAGCCTGAGTTCCAGGGGGCGAGACTTCAGTCCCTGGGAAGAGTATGAGAGTCAGACAAGGCTCTCAACTTGGGTGTCCAGAGTCAGGCCTAGATCTCGGAAAGCTAGAAGTCCAGCAATTCAGATGGGCCTGGGCTTTGAGCCTGTCCAGTGAGCCCAGGAGCCAAGCCCCAGCTCATTCCTTCTTCTTGCTCTCAGGGCCTTTGTACGTCACCGTGGAAGCTCAGCAGGCAGTAGTCCTACGTCCAGAAGCCGTGGAAAGTTTTTCCAGGGCATCTCTGCATCGGGTAAAGGGACTGACTGCTCAGTTGGCCTGAGGGGAGGGGCTGGCTGGGATCCCAGGGGCAGGGGATGGGGAGGTGGGGAGTTGGGTCTGGAGGGAGAAGAAGGCAGGAAGAAGGAAGCATAGAGGATCCACTGCCATCACGCATCAGTGGGCAAACCCTCCCCTGTCACCCCATTGTTCACCCATCCATATCTCCCTTCCTGCAACACTTGTGCAGTGCACACCCACACGCTCGCCATGTACAAAGCACTGGGAGGGGTACATCATCCCAACTCTCAACAAACTGGGTCTAACAGGCAAGTGGAGATTGCACACACAACCACACAACCGTTCAACCCAGGTTTGGTGTTACTGATCTCTCGGCTTGCTCCTTTCTGCCATGGGGGCTTCCAAACTTCCTGGGAGAGTCCTATATACACAGCCCCATCCTGGGTCTCTGTGTCCTGGTGCTGCATCTTGCTCTGTGGCCTGACCAGTCCTAAGCTCCTGCACCTTCCTGCCCCTTTCCTTGACCCATTCCCCTTGCCTCCCATCCAGAAGCCGTTGAGCGCCACCGCCGGAATCTGGCTGAGTGGTTCAGCCGGCTGCCCAGAGAAGAGCGCCAGTTTGGCCCAACCTTTGCACTGGACACAGTCCACGTAGACCCTGTGATTCGCGAGAGCACCCCAGATGAGCTGCTTCGCCCGCCGGCGCAGCTGGCCCTGGAGCACCAACACCCCACCGCTGGGCTTCCCCCACTGTCCCTGTCCCAGCTCTTTGACCCCGATGCCTGTGGGCGCCGGGTGCAGACAGTGGTGCTGTACGGGACAGTGGGCACGGGGAAGAGCACGCTGGTGCGCAAGATGGTCCTGGACTGGTGTTATGGGCGCTTGCCGGCCTTCGAGCTGCTTGTCCCCTTCTCCTGCGAGGACCTGTCCTCCCTGGGCTCTGCCCCAGCCTCCTTGTGCCAACTTGTGGCTCAGCGCTACACGTCCCTGAAGGAGATCTTGCCTCTGATGGCTGCTGCTGGGTCCCGCCTGCTTTTTGTCCTGCACGGCCTGGAGCGGCTCAACCTCGACTTCCGGTTAGCGGGGACAGGGCTTTGCAGCGACCCCGAGAAGCCAGAGGCGCCAGCTGCCATCATTGTTAACCTGCTGCGCAAATACATGCTGCCCGAGGTGAGTGTCCTCACCGCCTGCCCTGCTGCCGCTGCCCCTGACTTGTCCCCTAAGGACTTTGGTGTCCCCAGTTCACGTGTTTACTGGAGTGGGAGCATCGGCTCTCTACCAGTTCAGACCTGCCCCGCCCATCCCAGCTGTGTGTCTTTGAGCAAGTCCCTAACTTCCCTGAGCTTGTTTCCTTCCCTCCTGGAGCTGTCCCAATCAGAGTAGATCCCGGGGTCCCCGCTGGGGCTCAGTCATAGAATTACGATGCTCACCCTGGTCTGTGGGGGCTTTCTGAGGAGTGAGGCGGTCAGGACATGGAGGTCCTTCCTAACCCTCAACCGTGACTTCCCCAGGCCAGCATTCTGGTGACTACCCGGCCCTCTGCCGTGGGCCGAATCCCCAGCAAATACGTGGGCCGCTATGGTGAGATCTGTGGCTTCTCCGACACCAATCTGCAGAAGCTCTACTTCCAGCTCCGCCTCAACCAGCCGGACTGTGGGACGGGCGCCGGGGGCGCAGGGATCTCAGCCACGCTGGCTCAGCGGGACAGCCTGGTGGAGATGCTGTCCCGCAACCTGGAGGGGCACCACCAGATCGCCGCTGCCTGCTTCCTACCCTCCTACTGCTGGCTGGTGTGTGCCACCTTGCACTTCCTGCACGCCCCCACGCCGCCCGGGCAGACCCTCACCAGCATTTACACCAGCTTCCTGCGTCTCAACTTCAGCGGGGAGACGCTGGACAGCACTGACCCCTCCAACCTGTCCCTCATGGCCTACGCCGCCCGGACCATGGGCAAGTTGGCCTACGAGGGGGTGTCCTCCCGCAAGACCTACTTCTCCGAAGATGACGTCCGCGGCTGCCTGGAAGCCGGCCTCAACACGGAGGGAGAGTTCCAGCTGCTGCATGTCTTCCGCCGGGATGCCCTGCGGTTTTTCCTGGCTCCGTGCGTGGAGCCAGGGCACCGGGGCACCTTTGTGTTCACCGTGCCCGCCATGCAGGAGTACCTGGCCGCCCTCTACATCGTGCTGGGCTTGCGGAAGACGACCTTGCAGCGGGTGGGCAAGGAGGTGGCCGAGCTCGTGGGCCGTGTCGGGGAGGACGTCAGTCTGGTCCTGGGCATCGTGGCCAAGCTTCTGCCCCTGCGAGCCCTGCCTCTGCTCTTCAACCTGCTCAAGGTAGCAGCCCGAGCGCGCCAGGCTGTCTGCGTCCCCGTATTCCCCCTTTACCCCTTGCTCCCCTCCCAGGAGGCGACTGCTGCTTCCTGCATAGCCGTCTTCCTGACACGGGTTTCAGATTTGGGCAATCTGGCTTTTCATGGGGTTGAGACACAAGGGAGGGAGAGAGAGAAACCACAGGCTGATCAGAGCTTGGAGGTGGGAGGAGGATGCAAGGCCTTTCCACACAGTCCTGTGACCCTAATGACGATTGTCTTTTTGTGTGTCTTCTCCTCGCCTTTGTCAGCGGGAGGCCGACAAAGTCCGGGGTCTGTGCCCTGCTTTGCGGGCCCCAGAAACTCCACTGTATCTCTTCCCCCAGAGGTGGTTGGACTCGGGGAATGATGACTCATCCTAACAAAATCACCAGAGACAAGTTTATAAAGCAGATGCCATTTTATTCATTTATACCGGGAGGATAAATGGCATTGGTAATTGGCTTAGGATAGCGCAGGCCTGCTCCAGGATCCCAATTACAAGCCCGGGGACTGTGTTCTGAACAGGGAGGATGCGCTAGGGTTTTGAGGGGAGGAAGGAGGCACCCTCCGGTAATGTCTCTCAATGCCTCGTAAATGAAATATTATTATGATTTCTTTTTAGATAAAGACACTGAGGCTCACAGGGGCTAAGTAATTTGTCCAAGGTCACTCAGATAGTAGAAGAGCTAGGATCGGAGTCCAGATCCTAGTTTTGTGATTCTGAACCCTGTGCTCTCTCAGCTAAACCTGCTGATATATTATGGATATTGCTGTTCAGCTTCTGTGCCTTGCTAGGGAACCCTGGTCCTCTCTAGGAATGTTTCGGTAGCTCGTCTTGAGGCAGCAGAGCCCTGGTCAGTGCTGGCAAAATTTTAACAAGTTTTCCTTTTTTATAGGCAACAAAACATAAGGGTTAGGATCAGGGATTCGGTAATCCAGCCATGTGGGTTCAAATGCAGGCTCTGCCGCTTCCTAGCTATGTGATCTTGGACAAGTTACTTAACCTCTCTGTGCCTCCGAGTCCTTATCTGTTAAATGGAAATAATACAATGTATATCATGGGCCTAATATGAGGGTTAAATGTGTTCATCCTCAGGACCTGGCACATAGGAAGGTTCTATTTCAATGTTTGTTAAACCTCAAAAACAGGCTCAGGCAGCCTACCCCTTCTGCCACCATTGCCTCAGATGGGGGTCATGGCCGTTGCTGAGGCCAGCCCACCCCTTTGAGGACGGGCTTGCATGCTCTGGATCACGGCGAGAGGCTGTGGTCTCCTGACAGGGTTCACTCTATGGTTAGCACCATAGCTCCGGGCCCTCTGGGAGGGAGCGCTGCCTAGCAGAGGACTAGTCCGGTCTGTTTCTTTAGCCCTATTGAATCCTCCTCACCACGTGACATTTCCTCATCTTGTCACCAGGTGACTGTTGAGAGAGAAGCACTTGAATCTCCATGGCAGGAACCTCACCTGTAAAATGTGAAGAACAAAACAAAACAAAAAACAAAACCCAAAACGAGTCAGTCATTAGAGAAGAGACCACAAAATAGCCTCGTGGCTCCTTGCCAGAGGTCTGGGCCCCTTCTTGCTTTTCAGCCCCAACCCAAGGCCAGGAGCTGATGTCCCAAACCCAAACATTAATTTCTCCAACAAGTATTTGAGCCCTTGCTGTGTGCCAGGCACTGTGTTAGAGTCTGAGAAAGAAACAGTGAAGAGAACCCTGGGTTTCTGCCCTTTCTGGTCCTCCAGTAAGAACACAAACAGGTCACCATAACCATGTAATTTAAAGGTGTGCTAAGGGCCTGGAGAGACAAGTTCTAGTGTTGTGAAGGTGTGTAAGTGGGGAGCTGGTTTGGTGGTGGTGGGGGGATAGGGGAAAACCTCTCTACAGGAAGGGCATTTACTCTGATCCCTGGAGGATTGATTGATCCCTTACTACTGGGAGAAGAATGGGGGTGACAACACCCCAGGAAGAGTACAGCTTTGAAGGAAGAGAACTGTGGTACTGTCAAAAAAAAAAAAAAAATCCTAATAATGAGAAAAGCTGAAAGCACAGAAGCAGAGTGCGTGAGTGTGAGAGGTCTGTAGAAGGAGACAGTGGAGCTGGCAGGGGCCAGATCCTGCAGGGCCTGGAAGGAGCAGGAGCGAAGCCAGTCATTGTTGCTGGGATGACCAGGGCGGTACAGAGGGTGGGCGTGTCTTCTCAGCATCTAGCCTGGTATGGAACAAAAGGCATGGCAGATGCTAATTCCTTCCTACCGCTGGTTTGCAAATGTATGGGCGTTTGGGGAAAAAGAATTTCCTAAGGGCCTGAGGGTATTGAGAGGGTATGACGCAAGTGTTGAGAGGGGAGTCTGGAAAGGTCAATTTGGGGCCAAATCATGACCCGTTTTCTAGTCCACATGGGCAGTGGGGAGCCACAGCAGATGCTACGGGGCTTGGGGAGCATAATGTGATCAGACAAATGGTACTGCGGGTTTGAGAGGGATGGCGAGGCTGGAGCGGGGAGGGAGAGCTGCCCCTTGGGCTGAGCTTCGAAGGCTGAGCAGGAGGCGTGAGGCTACAGCACCTTCCCTGCGTGCTCTCCCAGGTGGTGCCGCGAGTGTTTGGGCGCGTGGTTGGTAAGAGCCGCGAGGCAGTGGCCCAGGCCATGGTGCTGGAGATGTTCCGAGAGGAGGATTACTACAATGATGACGTCCTGGACCAGATGGGTGCCAGTATCCTGGGCGTGGAGGGCCCGCGGCGGCACCCGGATGAGCCTCCCGAGGACGAGGTCTTCGAGCTCTTCCCCATGTTCATGGGGGGGCTCCTCTCCGCACAAAACCGGGCCGTGCTGGCTCAGCTCGGCTGCCCCATCAAGACCCTGGATGCCCTGGAGAACGCCCAGGCGATCAAGAAGAAGCTGGGTAAGCTGGGCCGGCAGGTGCTGCCCCCGTCCGAGCTCCTTGACCACCTCTTCTTCCACTACGAGTTCCAGAATCAGCGCTTCTCCGCCGAGGTGCTCAGCTCCCTGCGCCAGCTCAACCTGGCGGGGGTGCGCATGACGCCCGTCAAGTGCACGGTGGTGGCGGCTGTCCTGGGCAGCGGGAGGCATGCGCTGGACGAGGTGAACTTGGCCTCCTGTCAGCTGGACCCTGCCGGGCTGCACACGCTCATGCCTGTCTTCCTGCGTGCTCGGAAGCTGGGGTGAGGACCCCCGAAGACTGGAGAGGGTTGGGGGTGAAGGGGCTGGAAGAGAAGGTGCTAGTGAGGCCAGAGGTGGGGAGGAAGGAGCAGAGGGTAGGATGAAGAAGTCTGGTATGTGTGGAGGTGATGAGCAGTGGGAGGGGGGCACCGTGGGTGGGCCGGCTCCTTGCTGAGCTCCTTCCTTGCTTCTCCCCTCCCCTCCGGCCACCTCCTGTTCCAGCTTGCAGCTCAACAGCCTGGGCCCGGAAGCCTGCAGTGTCCTCCGGGACCTGCTGCTGCATGACCAGTGCCAAATTACCACCCTGCGGTAAGTGTTTCGGGAGCAGAGCTGGAGGGAGGTTCCCCCCCATCCTGGTGGCAGGCCGAGGTCAAGGATGAGCTCATGCCTGTTCCTGGCCCACCCGTGCTGTGGTAGAGGGGGTGGGAGCCTAGACCCTGGCCTGCCCCCTCTCCCCAGGTCCAGTGCAAGCAGCAGGGTAGATGAACGATGCTTCCAGGAATAGGTGCTCAGAAACCCAGTGCCGGCGGGAGGTGGGATAATACCCAGGCTGGTTGCCTGGTAACAGTGCCACTGATGCCCTCCCAGAATGTTCCCTGTTGCCTCGCAAGGATGACCCTAATGCTGGGTGCTCAGTAGATGCTTCCAAAGTGCTGGCTGATTTACTAGGAGCCCAGAAGCCTGGTTGGAGGAAGGGGAGGTGAATGAGGAGGAGGAGGGCCCTGGGGCAGGGGCCTCTGCGTGGGAGGTAAGAAAAGGAGGAAGAGGAGGAATAGTAACCATGAAGAGTGGGGAGTCAAGGGAGGAGGAGAAGCCGGCTCCCACCCCTGCAGTGTGCCATACCCCCTGCTTCTTCCTTCCCTTCCCCCATCCCCCACATTTCTGTGTCCGGGCTCCCCTCCACCCCAGGCTGTGTGTCCTTTGGGTCCAAGTCCCAAGGCAAGTCCTGTGGCAAGCCCTGTCACAGGCCCTCATCTCCTTGGGGTGCATGTGGCTGTAGGCTGTCCAACAACCCCCTGACGGCGGCTGGTGTGGCCCAGCTGGTGGAGGGGCTGGCGGGGAACAGCTCGCTGACGCACCTGTCCCTGTTGCACACGGGCCTCGGGGACGAGGGCCTGCAGCTGCTGGCTGCCCAGCTGGACCGGAATCGACAGCTACAGGAGCTGAACGTGGCCTACAATGGCGCTGGCGACACAGCGGCCCTGGCCCTGGCACAAGCCGCCCGGGACCACCCTTCCTTGGAGCTGTTGCAGTAAGTCTGGCCCCCACCCTGGCTGGGAGCTCCTGGTCTCCACTGGTTTTTCCCTGTGGTAGGGCCTGTCCTCTATCCTTGCCTTCTCACGGATCTTTGTGGACCGGCTTCTGAACCAACCTGCCCGTCTGTGATTGGCCCTTACCCTTCCCTGGTCCCCTACTACCATTTCTCTTAGGATCCTGGTGGCCCCGTCTTACTTACTGTCCCTGGTCCTGCTGAATTCAGATGTCATCCCTGCCCCCTGTTGGCCACCACCCCCATCCCTGGCTCACTGCAGACACCTGCCCCATTAAGTTCCATAGCCAGGGGATGTTTTGAGAATTCTCCGCTCCACCCCGCACCCTCTGTCCTCTGTCTCAGAGCTCCGCTGAGCGGTATCTTCTCTTCTCTCTCTTCCAGCCTCTACTTCAATGAGCTGAGCTCAGAGGGCCGCCAGGCCCTGAGGGACTTGGGTGGCACTGCTAAAGGGGGTGCTCGGGTCGTGGTGTCGCTGACAGAGGGGACAGCAGTGTCCGAGTACTGGTCAGTGATCCTTAGTGAAGTCCAGCGGAACCTCAACAGCTGGGATCGGGGCCGCGTCCGCCGCCACCTTGACCTTCTGCTTCGTGATCTGGAAGACAGCCGAGGGGCCACCCTTAACCCCTGGCGCAAGGCCCAGCTGCTGCGAGTGGAGGGTGAGGTCAGGGTCCTCCTGGAGCAGCTGGGAGGCTCTGGAACCTGAAGCAGGGGCAGCAGTCACCTAGCGGTGTGACCCCTGGCCCCAAGATCCTTCCCTCTGTGGCCTCCTGGTTTGCATTACTACTTCCAGAAAGACTCCTTTAGGGCTGGAGGTAAAGGGAGGAGCACACCTGTGGCAGTTGCTCTCCTGGGGCAAGTCCATCCGTGGCTTCCAGGTCTGGAATTTCCAGGGTTATGGAACAGGCCTCTCCATTCAAGAGGAAGACTGAGAAAGACTTCAAGCCGACAGTTGCCCTGGGGCACTACCAACCTTGCCTCTCTGCTCTCGGGAGCTTCTGACTGTGCCACCAGGGGGCGCACTTCTTAAGTCGCCTTTGCCAAAGGTGCAGCCTTCCTGCTGTGGGAGGGCCGGCCCTTTCTGCCTTGCTGCTTGCCAGAGGTCGCCCAAGATGCCCCCTGCCACTTTCCAATCGTGTTGGTGCCTTCTCCCCTTCACACCTCCTTCCTCACCACCCTACCTGTGCTCAGGTGCTCCAAGGGCCTTGTGCAGTGCCTTGGTTCCATTAAAAAGCTGTGTCTTCCACCTACTGTGGCCTCTCCTTGCCTGGTGCTTTCAGGAAAGGGTACTGTGTTTGGTCGTTCTGGTAAACTACTGACCACATTCTGTTACACGTGGTTCTTGGGCACTAGGTTCAGAGGCAGTGAGGGCTGAGGCGGGGGGTGGGGGGCATGAACAAGATCCTGGGGGGAGGGGGGAGGCCATGCTGGGCCTTAGGACCCCATCACCTTTTTCAACATACTTATCCCAGGCTCGGAATTACAGTGGCCAGCAAGCTATCTGCCTTTGTCTGCCCAGAGCAGAAGCTGGGACAGCAGCAGAGTCTCCGGAGGAAGTCCGGGGCCCAGGAATGGGGGCAGGAGGAACATACAGACTTCCCCAGAGGATAAGACTGTCCTCCTGTTAACCATTACCCTGCTGCTTCTAAGGCAGTGTCTTTAAGGAGGCGGGACGTGGCAGGGTTGGTGGGAGGGTCAGTTGGTTTTGATGAACCTTGTCCCTACCCTGAGCGCTGGGTCGCTGGTTCAACTATGGAGGCAGCTACAGGTAGGAGGCCAGGAGAAATCCACCAGTGGGGGCTTTAGGGCAGTGAGAGGGCAGGGTGGGAGGTAGAGGCTTCGGGGACCAGAGTGTACTTGATGTTGTGACTTGGAGACCTAAGGCAAATAGACCCAAGTTAGGAGAGACGAGGTGAGTGGAGAGGTCTGCCCTCCTGGTCCACGCCCTGTCCTGCTCTGTTCAGATTTCTGTGCCAGGGACTAGGAGGAGAAGGGAAGGGGGAGGAAGGGAAGATTTTTCTGGAGCAGAATGGAGGGGGCAAGACCTGAGTGTGGGGGTTCTCCTGAGTCCTTTTAGTTAATGACCCTGGAAGAGGAGTCAGGGTAGGGACAGAACGCAGCCCTCCTCCCCTCATCCCTTCTTTGCACAGCAGGTCTTCGGGACACAGCCTCGTTAACTCGGTAAGTGCCTTGCGGTGCTGAGAAGGGTTGGGGCTGGGAGCAGAGGGACTCCAAGGTGGGGAGGCTCTTCAGCTGCCATTCGCCCCTCAAGTAGAGGCTGGGACCAGAGTCCAGATGTCATCAGCTCACTCCTACCTGCATCCCTCGCCTCCTTGCAGGAAGTTTGAGTTTAACCCAAAGTGGGGCATTGATAATCCTGTCCTCTCTCTGGCTGAAGACTTCGACCCCTCCGGTAACCCCCTTGCCCTGGGCAACCGTTCCCTTTCCCCAGAGATACCCCAGCTCCTCACGCCTTCCATCTCCTTGGTAACCACTCCACTCTGCCTCCCTCTGATAACAGCCTTGGTGGGGAGTAACTGCGTGAAGGTAGGAGGGGGTTGGCTGCTTTCTTCTGTCCAAGCCACTCTGCCCATATGGTATTTAGCCTCACCGTCCAACACCTAACTGGGTAGAAGCCTGCCTGTTGCCCTATCACAAGGGCAGGGTCCGCCAGGCCAAGGTGACCTGTACTTGTGCCGTATCCCCTCCCCTCCCCTTCTTCTGTTGCCTCTCCCCTCCCCCCCAGATCTCCAGTGCCTGCAGCGGCCTCGTTTCTGTCTGCTGAGCAAAGAGGAAGGCAGGAGTTTTGGCTTCCACCTGCAGGAGCTGGGCAGGGCTGGGCCTGTGGTGTGCAGGGTGGACCCAGGCACCTCTGCCCAGTACCAGGGCGTTCGGGAAGGGGACCGGATCCTGGGGGTGAATGACCGAGTCGTGGAATGTGAAGACTACGCTGTGGTGAGGTTGGGCCTGGGGTCTCCCTGTGGAATCCAAGGACGCTCCACAGCATCTCCGGAAGAGAGGAGCCAGGGGGTCCCCTCCCTGCTTATAGGCGGGCAGTACCCAAGCCTCTGCCTCCCCCGCCTCCCGGGATCTGGGGCTGTCCAGGTGGGAATGGTTGAGTGAAGGTGTCCACACAGCTGGGTCCGGGGGAGTAAAATGTAGGCTCTGGGGAGGGGGCGTTGGCAGGAGGGGCGGGCCCCACCTCATGCCACGCCTCCTCGGTTTAGGTGGTTCGCTGCATCCAGGCCAGCGGGCCCCGCGTGCTGCTGACCGTCTTGGCGCAGCACGTGCATGATGTCGCTCGAGCTCAGCAGGGGAACAGCGCCCACCTCTGTCCTCCTCTCGGCCCTGGGGTCCGGCCCCGACTGTGCCACGTAGTGAAAGACGAGGGTGGTTTTGGCTTCAGTGTCTCCTACAGTGAGCTTAGGGGCTCGGGAGGGAGGTCAGGAGGGGGATCTCAGCCCTGTTCTGGGCAGACAGCAGACCGAAACTTGCTTTTTTTTTTTTTTTTTTTTTTCTTGCAGGCCATCAAGGTCCTTTCTGGCTGGTGCTGAGTACTGGAGGAGCAGCCGAGCGGTCAGGGGTGCCCCCTGGGGCCCGGCTGCTGGAAGTGAACGGGGTCAGCGTGGAGAAGTTCACTTATCACCAACTCAGCAGGAAGGTATGGCTGTATGTTTCCCCATTCATCCTCACCCACCTGGACCCCAGGGCCTTGCCTCGGGCAGCCGATTCCTCCCCGCTGCACCTCATCTGAATTTGACCTTCTACCTCCTGCCACCCTTCCCTTGACAGTTGGTCCTAGGCTCTGCTCTCCCCCACCTTGCTGCCTCCCTCCTGGGGCTGTGAGGAGCGCTTGCCTCTGCCCTCCCCACCCAGGTGCTTGGTGCTGATGCCCCACTGGGTCCCCACAGCTCTGGCAGAGTGGAGACCAAGTGACCCTGCTGGTGGCAGGGCCAGAGGTGGAGGAACGGTGTCGCCAGCTGGGAATGCCCCTGGCTGCACCGCTGGCAGAGGGCTGGGCACTGCCCACCAGGCCCCGCCGCCTGCACCTAAAGAAAGGGCCCCAGGGCTTTGGGTTCCTGCTTCGTGAGGAGAAAGGTCTTGATGGTCGCCCTGGTGAGTGGGAGCCCCCGAGATGGGTCGGGAGGGTGTGGCTTGGGGGGTGGGCATGCATGATATGGTGCGCAGAAAACCCCAGCCCTGAGCCTCTGCCCTCCTCCTCCTGTGTACACCCTGGCTCAGTTCCTCCGTGTGCCCACAGTGGCCTGGGCTGGTGCTGGGGTTGGGGGAGGAGCAATGAGGATGTTTATGTCCCAGGACAGTTCCTGTGGGAGGTGGACCCAGGACTGCCAGCTGAGAAAGCCGGGATGCAGGCTGGGGACCGGCTGGTGGCTGTGGCTGGGGAAAGTGTGGAGGGGCTGGGCCATGAGGAGACGGTGGCCAGGATCCGGTCGCAGGGCTCCTGTGTCTCCCTCATTGTTGTCGACCCTAAAGCTGACCGCTTCTTCAGCATGGTGCGAGTGCGGGGTGGGGGGCTGGAGTGCGGGCAGGAATGGAGCAGGGCTCAGGCAGAGGGAGAAGCTACAGGTCTGTTCTATCCGCCTCCTTCCAGGTTCGTTTGTCCCCACTTCTCTTCTTGGAGAGCACAGAGGCTCCTGCCTCCCCGCAGGAAACCTGCTTGGCCTCTCTGGTTGAAACCAAGGACCTACCAGTTGAAGACACAGCCGTGCCTCTTGTCCCAGGCGGCTCCCGCCAGTGCTCCCTATACCCTGCGCCCAGCGGTGGCTATGGCTTCCGACTTAGCTGTGTGGCCAGTGAGCCTCGAATCTTCATCTCCCAGGTGACTTATGCCCCATGGACCTTGGGTCTTTCCAATCATTTGCCTCCTGATGAGCCTTCATCTGCTTCCTTCCTGAGGTCTTAAAACAATCCAGCAACTTTTCCATGGTATCCCATGTTCTGTGATCCCTCTCTTTGCCACCAGGTGACCCTAGGAGGCCCAGCTGCCCAGGCAGGGCTGCAGATGGGAGATGTGATTCTGGAGGTGAACGGGTATCCCATGGGTGGAGAGAATGACCTGGAAAAGCTTCAGCAGCTGGCTGTGGCTGAGCCACCGCTCCACCTGAAGCTGGCAGCGAGGTCGTGCCAGGGCTCAGAAGCCTGTAATCCCCCCAGGTTTGGAGAGGTAAGGTAGAAGAGACAGGTGGACTGCAGGCAACTAGAGAAGGATAGAGGGAGTCTATCCTCTCTGCAGTGTGGGACATGTAGGTTGGGACGTTAGGCCATGGTAGGTGGGGACAGAAGGACCCATGGAACTGGCTGCCATTCCTGGGCACCACGGGCAGGTGGGTGCAGGGAAAATGTTTACTCTTCTCATCCTTGAATAACCTTCTCTCTCTCTCTCTCTGTTCAGGACCGGGCTCCAGTGTCAGAGCTGCTATAGTCCTCTCCTGCTTGGCACAGACCTGCCCAGTGGCCTTCCTGTCTTCACTCTCCTGCTTGTGATGGTAGGAGCTGAGAAGCTCTCTTTAAGCCAGAAGGGACAGCTCTAGGATTCTGGGCACTTCCAATCACAGGATTGCCCTGTGTCTCTCCACCTTCCCTTGGGCCCACCTCCCAGAAGAAGGTGTGTCCAGAGGTCTTAGCCAGCCCCACTAGTGGGCGGTCTGCCCTCTGGTTCCACAGGAAGTCCTATGGGAGTTTTGGGAGTTGTGTCCCACAGATGGGAGTTCTGCCTGAAACAAGTGGTGGGATTTAAAATAAATTATACTCTTTCCCGGCACAGAGCTCCTAAAGCCCTTGGAATTTCCTAAGTAGTAAGAGTGATCTTTTACTCATAACAAGCCCTTTTCAACCAAACTTAACTTTGTTAAGGAAGTGACTTTTGGGGGCGCCTGGGTGGCTCAGTGGGTTGAAGCCTCTGCCTTCGGCTCGGGTCATGATCTCAGGGTCCTGGGATCAAGCCCCACATCAGGCTCTCTGCTGAGCGGGGAGCCTGTTTCCTCCTCTCTCTCTCTCTCTGCCTGCTTGTGATTTCTCTCTCTGTGTGTCAAATAAATAAAATCTTAAAAAAAAAAAAAAAAAAAAAGGAAGTAACTTTTGGAAAACACCTAAGGATGGGGGGCTGGTTGCCAGGGAAACCAACCACGTGATTAGATGGCTGGAGCTTTCAGCCTACCCCACCCCCACGCAGGGCCTTCTGGGAGAGGGGAGGTGCTGGAGGTGGAATGAATCACCAACCACCAATGGTGTCACGGACCATGACTCCATAGTAAATAAAGCCTCCATGAAAAACCAAAAAGATGGAACCAAACAGAGATGCTGGGAGGGCAGCACCCCCAAAGAGGACACAGGCTTCCATGCTTGTGCCTTGCCCCCAGCAAACCTGCCACCTGGCTCTTCCTGAGTTGTGTCCTTCATAATAAGTTGGAAGCTAGTGAGTAAACCGTTTCTCTGGGTTCTGTGAGTCATGCTAGCAGATGATGGAACCTGAGGAGGGGGTCGTGGGAACCTCTGTTTTTCCACCAATGGGTCTGAAGCACAGGAGACGAGCTGGACTTGACACAGGCTTTTCAAGTGGGGACAGTCTTGTGGGACTGAGCCCGAGGCCTGTGGGATCGGATGCTCTCTTCACCTCGGTAGTGCCAGAATGGAATTAAATCGTAAGATACCCAGCTGGTGTCCACAGAGCTGATAGAGAATTGCTTGGTGACCCCTTCTAGGTGACCGGAAGTGAAGTAGGAACGAGTGTTATAAAATAGAGGAGGGACACAGAGTTTCCTTTTATGAGGCTGTGAAGCTGGCTAGGATTGTTCCAGATGGAACTTACCCCGGCATAACTCCTGGACTCTCGCTTATATTGCGAGAATTTGAAGAGCAGCTACGCCTTCCCTCTGGAGGCACCTTGGGATTGTGGGGGCTGGTGCATGGCACTGTAGGTTTATCAGAGAAAGGGCCTTGCCCCCACAAATCTGGCCGCCTGTGTCGGCAGGGGGAAGGAGAATAGAGGATGGTGATTGAAGGGCCCCAGAAAGGCCTCAGACTCAAAGCCTGGGGCCCATTTTCTCTAAGAGAGTTGCTGAGAGTTTGTCAAATTTCTCTCCTCTCTTTCAGTCTCCAGGGCAATGGGCCAGCCCAGAACCAAGGTGCCCCCAAAGGAGACCCTCGTATCTGCCAAAAAGCCACAGACCACAGTTCTGTTGAGTTCTACATCAAGATAGCTTTATTGCTGGAGCCTCCAAGAGCCCCAGAGACTAGCAGCTTATGGCTTCAAAGATCCAGGGGGTTGAGTCCAAACTGGCGGAGCTGCTCCTTGTACTTGGCATGAAGTCTCAGCACAGCCCCGTCCCACTGAGGCTGGACGACCCTCAGCTTGGCCAAGAGTCGGTCCAGGCTGCCCTGCAGACACCAAGTTTGAGGCCCCAGAAAAGGAGAGGGTAGAGTGAGCGGTGCCCCAGGCTGGTCTGTAAGCTTACCTCACCAGTGTCTTCTTCAAGTTCTTACTCTTAGTAAGTAGGCATGGTTGTATTCCCCTGGCAGTCTGCCCTCAAGACAGAGCAGGATTCCCTGTGGAGATGCTGCTTCTCCTTCCCCCGGGTCTACCATTGATGATGATGGCAGCATGAACTAGTTTGGGTCGGAGTGGGAGGATAGGGGAGCGCTACGTACTGGGGGTTGGGCTTCCAACGGTGGTGCTTACATGTAAGATTTCCTCATACTTGGCCTCCATATCTGCCACGTGGGCCCGAAGCTGAGCCAGAGTCTGGTCCCGCTCTCCCAGGGCCTGCTCAGCCTCTTGCCCTGCAGCCTTGGCCTCCTTCTGGCACGTCTCTGCAGGGCAGGGCAGAAGGATGAAGGGGACTGCATAGTGACAATCTCCCTGTGAACAGAGCCCCAAAGGTGCCTAAAAAGCAGAACTTAAATGGGATCATTCCAGACTTCCCCCAGGATCATCAATTTTCCCACAGTCCCTATAAAGAGCTGACATATACCATTAGGGTACAGCCGAGAAAGTAGTGGACTTGGGACAAGGGATGTGGGTCCAAAGTCTGGTTGTCACTTACTTAATATCTGTGTAAGCTCAGGCATGCCTCTCTCAGACTCAGTTTTTTCATCTTTAAAGACAGACTGATACAAACCTTACCGGCTTACTGTGAGTTAAATGCGAGAATGTGTGGGAAGATACCTCGTATATACAGGAGGTACTCCCTAAACGCTGATTGATTTTAAATTTGAGATAAGGCAAGGATTAGGAAAGAAATGCAGGGTCTGCATGGCAGAGAAGCAAGTCTTGGGTATCTGTAGCTAAACTGAGGCCATTTTAGGGGAGCCTGGCTGACTTAGTCCGTAGTGCCTGCCACTCCTGATCTCAGGGTCATGAGTTCAAGCCCCACATTGGGCGTGGCACCTACTAAGAAAGAAACTGAGGCTATTTTAGGTTAAGAAAACTCTGAGACCACAATTATGAAAGATCTTATGTGCCATGCTAAGATAGTTCAACTCTATCTTGTAACCAAAAGAGAAAAGAAAACCTTACTGTTCTTTACATTTTTGTTTATCTGGAAGGTTTATTCCTTTATTTAGCAATAATTACGTAGGACTTGGCATGCACTTGGCATTGAAGATATGAAAGTAAATAAGTCAAATATCTTTTCTTAGTTTCATTGTAAAAATCAGCTAAGAGGGAATATGTTTCGCTCATGACAGATAAGGCACGGGTGGGGAGAAAGACCCAGATTTGGAGAGATCATGGAGAGAGGGAGATGAGATGAGAGACCCAGGTCTGCTTTAGTTACAACTTAGAGATTTTTGTCATCTTGAACCCTCTGCTCCAGTCCTCCATGGTGGAAGAGTCAGTGGGGAAAATGGCCCAAAGGCCTAGACAGCACGCAGTCTTCTAGAGAAAGACGATCTTCAGTCCGCCCCTGCAGGCTGGACCTTGTCAGTGCCCAAGGAGAGAAAGGGCTTAGGGGGTGGGGAAGCCTACCCAGCTGTTCCCGAAGGCCTGTCACTTCTTCCTCCAGTTGCCTGCTGCGGGTCTCCATTTCCTTCTGCAGGGCCCGGCACTGACGACTCATTTCTGTGGTGGGGGCAGAGGGTGACCAGGGACCCAGGTGTGGATGGAGTAGTGGAGAGAGGAAAGGAAGCTGTGGGTGGCGAAGGGCCTGCTTGGCCCAGTGGGACAGGAACATAAACGCCTTCTCAGTTCCCGTGATTTTAAGAAGCTGGCAGAACTGGAACACCTGGGGCAGAGCTGGGAAACCACACCCCTTTCCCCTTCGCCCACCTGGTCCAGTCCCGGACCTGGATTCTAGCCCTTCTCCCCACTTACTCCCATGGCACCAATGAGACAAGGCCATGTAAGTTTTTGTAATCCACATTACAAGTGGTGCTTTCTGTAATCCTTAAAGCACATGGCATTGGGCATCCTGGAAGGTTCTTGCCCAGCATCCCGGAGGCCTTCCTTTGGTTCTTTCAGGCCCCGTGCCTGATCCATGCTGAGCCGGGAAGGTTGGGGCTAGGCATGGCAGATGGAAGTCCTCCTCAGTTCCCTTCCTGCACCCTCTGGCCCTCTTGGTTGTCCTCTTCCAGGCCCCTGTCTCCTGCCCACCTGCCTGGCCAACCACACACCTGCATAGATGGCCTTGCCCTCACTTCGGGCCTCCTCCAACTCAGCCTCCAGCACCTGCAGCCTCTGCCTCAGCTGCTCCTCAGAAGCTTTAGCCCGGCGGGCCTCATCCCTCCGCAGAGCTGCGAAAAGTCCCAGAGCAGTCCTCACAACAGGCAGGGGGTCCCACCAAATCAGGCCCCAAGGGCTTGATAGACTCCTCCCACCTTTGGGAACCTGGTGGCAGATTCCCAGCCTCTCATTCTCTGTCTGGGTTGGTTGGTTGGTTTTCCCCCTAGAATCCCATGAGCTCTTCATTGCTAAGAAGGCAAAACTCTATATCCTGCTTATGAAAAATAGCTCTCCTCACCCACCCTCACTGCCCACCCCTTCCTCACAATGTCAAGTCTTTCTCCACTGGGGGATGGGGGAGAGATCAGCTCAGCCTCCTGCCACAGCTCCAACCATCCAAGTTTCCAGGATGCAAATTGCCCCATTGTCCCACCTCTGGTGTCCCAGAGCCTTTACCCTTCTTACCCAGGTGGTCTTGGAGCAGCTCCTTCTCCATCACTGCCCGCCGGTGTGCGGACTTGGTCTCCACATCTGCCCTGGCAAGTTGGCAAAATCTCAGCTTATCATGATCTCAGCCTTCCTCATGTCTCCCCATCCTCAGCGTACACCTTGGACTTTTCCCCTGTAGCTCTGAGGGCCTCTAAACGAGGGATCTCTGATGGCAGAGGCTACCGAGTTCACCCCTGTGTCCTGGCTGCCCAGCACAGAGTAGGTACTTGGAATATGGGTGATGAATGTATTAAGGAAGGCACAGAGCCAGAAGGGCACCACAGAGCAGGTGCATGCTGATTTCCCCAATTTCCCAGCTCCATGGAACCTGGGGGCAGGGGGAAGACACGAAGAGGGAGGGGCATGAAAACTCTGTCTTGTCATGCAGAGGGCTGTGTTCTCTCTGGAGCACCTCTGCTTGGTCTCTAAGCCAGAGCATGGAGAAGCAGGAGGCACTCACCTCCAGCCACCCTGACTCACCAGCGCCCGCATTCTCTTTCTTCTTCTGTGCCCCAGTTTTCTTCCCTTTTCCTTTGGTTTTGGGTGGCATCTCCTTGCTGTCCTAGGGAAGGAGAGGACTCATATTTAAGCCTGGGCATGGGGCTCCTTTCCTGACCCCTGGACTGAACCAGGAGTCCTAGGAAAGTTAGAGTTCTAGTCTCCAAGTCTTTCTCTTCTACTTTCCAGAAGCTTCCATGCTTGGACTCCTTGGAACTTTAGGCAAGGCTGGGATTTGGGGAGGGTGGAGCTGTTTCTTTCTATCAGTCAGGTTCTATGAGCAGAAATCATTCCTCGCAGTCGTCTTTTTGAGAAAATTAATCTCAGTACTTGTCCCTTCCCTCTTCCCATCATCCTTGCCCTGCCTCTTCTTACCTGTAGGATCCTCTCTGGCCTCCGCTGTGTCTCCCTGTGGGGTGACCCACTCATGGGAGAGGCAGAGAAAAGGCCCAACCAGCTCGGAGCCTGAGGAGGAGCCTGGGTTCTGGGAGCCAATCCAGGGTGGCAAATTTCCTTTGGGGGCGGGACTGAGAACTGCACGGTTGGGTTTCTGGAGACCAAATGTTGTCCAGGTAACTGGGAAACATGGAGCTCATAGGCAGGTGGAATGTGCCAAGCACAAAGGTCCTGGAGGGTCGCTTCTCGCCTTATCCCTAAATCCTAAGTGTATTTTGAGGAGAAAGAGCTTTGGAACCAGTTAACTATGCTTTATTTTCACTTAGCAGTGCCTGAAGTTCCGAGACATACAAATGACAGATTTTCACATCTGACAGGATGCTGTTGTGCTGACACAGAGGAAAAGGGCTGACAGTAGCCATTCTAGGTGATTTATATCCCTAGGGCTCATGAGGGAGCACAATGACATTATTAGGCTTTGGGAAGGCGTTTTGCAGTGTATGAGGGAAAGAAGTGCAGAAGGTAGCTGAGGGAGTTTCTCACTTCAGAGAAAGGCAACCCAGAGGAGAGGTAGACCCATGGACTCCAGGGTGCTGACATAGAGGGAGACAAATGTAGAAGAAAGGATATTGGTTAGAGACAAGAGCCATGAGTTCTAGTCCCCCTTCCGGTTGTGTAAACTCTGACAAGCCATTTAATTTTGCTCAACCTCAGTTTCCTGGTCTTTAAGTCTTTGATGCTGTAAATCCTGAAAGGACCGGATTTTAGCTGGGTATTCACAGGGCTTTCTTCCCTTGTGGGAACTTAATTTATTGCCTTGCTTCCCCTATTCCCTAATGTGGCTGATTCTCAGTCGGGTGCTGTGAAGCTACTTTGCCAGGCTCCCCTCAGTCCTGAGTTGGTCCGGGCTCCCTCTAGTGGACTTGCTTGACTTCTGGCGTCTCCTAAATTTTTCTACTTAAATTCTTGGGCCACGTCTGGGGTGCCTCCCTTTTGGGATACTTCCTAGCAACTTGCTGGGGTCATGAGTGGTTGGAAAAGCAAATTCAGGGAAGGGAGTATGATGGGCGACTTGTCCTTATCCCGATCCTCCTTCCAGCTCTGTGCTACTCCAGCCTTGTCATCTGTCTGTGACCTGGATCTCTGGGCACCCTACTGGCTAGAATGAAAATGGCAGAAACGTCAGGATTTTCCTCTTGTGGGTCAAGGAACCTGCAGACCCTTTAGATATTTCTCTCTCTCTCTCTCTCTCTCTCTCTGTGTCAACACTTTTGGTCAATTGCCTGCTGTCAGGAGCAGATCTGAAGAAATGCTTTGAGATCTGGGATTTAAAAAGCCTTCCTCAGGGTGCCTGGATGGCTCAGTGGGTTGAGCCTCTGCCTTCAGCTCAGGTCATGATCCCAGGGTCCTGGGATTGAGCACTGCATAAGGCTCTCTGCTCAGCAGGGAGCCTGCTTCCCCCTCTCCCCTCTGCCTGCTGCTCCGCCTACTTGTGATCTCTCTCTCTGTCAAATAAATAAATAAAATTAAAAAAAAAAAAGCCTTCCTCTGGGGAGTGGACAGATTCAGGTGGTGGCTGATTCATGTTTATTTGTCTGTCACCTTGGTGGCTGCAGGGTACTTCTCTGATTCTTCAGACATTTTACAGCGTAAAAAGAAGAACCAGGCTTGCCTTTCCTGGGGCTTACAGTTCCTGTACCCCAGGGTCAGATAACTCTGTGCACAATTCCCAAATCTGGAGAATACTTTTCTTCTCATCTTAAATTGTGTTTTTCATTTATTCTCCGCCCCGCCTTCCCTGAACCCTTCCCCCTTGCACAGAAATGCAGTAGAGATTCCTGCCCCAGTCCTTCTCCTCATCTAGAAGCCTGTTTGGGGTCATTTTCCAGGGAATGAGTAATCTCCGCATTGCGCTGATGCAGGGGCCAGCATTTTGAGGACAGGGTTTACAGAAAACAAACAACATATCATGCCTCCGAAGAGCATTTACTTTTCAAATATGTTCAGCCAACTGACTTTCAGGTGCAGAATGAGGATGTGGTTTGGGTGAAGGTGAAATGGAGTAAGAAAGTGCCCCATGTCACATGATGTGATGATACAAACTGAGCCGGCTCTCGAATAAGCCAAGAATGCAAATGACACTGTGATCAACAATCCAATCCCATCTTCAGTATATGTTGAAAACATGCCAAGTAAAATTGTGGGGGGAGAAAAAAAAAGGTAATTCTTTCCTTCTTTTTTCATTAACTTCAGCTTAGAAGTGAAAATAGGTAAGATCATCTCCACAGAACTCTGTCTTCCTTTGAATAGGATCCCATCTGGGAGTTCAAAGAGACACAGAGGAGAGAACCATCACTCTCTCTGGTTTATTCAAATGTGAGATATAGGTCATTTGTATATTCAAGGAAATATGGCTTTTTCTCTTTTGTAGGGTGCCTGAGTGGCATAGTCAGTTAAGCACCTGACTCTTGATTTGGCTTCAGGTCCTGATCTCAGGGTCATGAGATAGAGGCCCCCACCCCCACCCCAACCCTCAGGATCTGCATAGCGCCCAATCTGTGAGATTCTCTACCCCCCCTCCCCCTGCACGTGTCCTGCATGTGCTCTCTGTCTCTCTAATAAATAAATCTTAAAAAAATAAAAAAAACCCCTAAACTATGGCTTTTGTTTTTCCTTCTTCTTGGGGGGGAGGGGAGGAGCAGAGAGAGAGAGAGAGAGAGAGAGTGTCTTAAGCAGTCTCCGCACCCAGTATAAGCCTGATGCAGGGCTTGACCTCATGACCTGAGATGAAATTGAGAGTTACAGCCCCAGAAATATGGCTCCTGCAAGCAGAAATAAAGTATAAATTATACCATTACATTCTATCCAGGTGGTACTGAAATAATAAAAATTGGAAGCCTTAAAGGAAGCCAGAGATGTGTAGATGACCCAGAGGAACCCATATAGGTCCAGGGGTTAATTTCTTGCCTGTATTCCATTAAATCTAGTATTTGATGATGAGGGCGAAAATACCCTGCGTACTTATACTGTGTTAGGTACTGTGGAAAACTAAAGTCTACCAGACAGCATAGCATAAATTAATATGAGGCATCTGTGAGAATACAGGGTTATGGAAATTTAGAAGAGGAAAGGATATTTCTAGCTGGAAAGTCTGGTGAGAAAGAAAATATTTGAGCTGGATTCTGAAGAATGGATAGGACTTCAGTAGCACACTTTTTTTTTTTAAGGGTTTATTTATTTATTTGACAGAGAGAGAGAGATCACAAGTAGGCCGAGAGGCAGGCAGAGGGAAAGGGGTGTAGGCTCCCTGCCAAGGAAAGATCCCCAGGACACTGGGATCATGAGCCAAGCAGAAGGCAGAGGCCCAACCCACCGAGGCACCCAGGTGCCCAGGTGCCCCTTCAGTAGCACACTTTAGGCAGAGGGAATACTCTCAGCCATGGTGATGAAAAAAGAAAGAATTGTGGTATTTTGTGACTTGGTGACTCACCCAGCATAGGATATACATATTGGAATAGTATAAAACTGCAAGGTAGTTTGGAGTTAGATCATGACTCTTAACTTCATCCAGGAGACAATCAGGAATGTTTGAAGTTTTTTTTTCTGATGCCATCAGAACTATACGTCAGGAAGACTGGTCTGGTGGCAGAATGGTTTGGAGATGACAGGGAAACCAGTGAGGAAAACGTTTCAATAAACAGATCAGGGGAGAGAAAGGAAGGGCCTGCAACCAGGGTGGTAGATGGGAAGTTTTGACAATTATCTGAGAGGCTTGTCTAGATTTTCCCTTGGGAGATTTCTTCTTTCTCTAGGTAGGAACTGATTAAAGGAAATTCTACTGATAGGAAATAATGTTGACTCCTTAATCAATCTTAGGTAAAGGCCATTGAATTGCAAAACAAGGATGTCTGGCTGATGGGTGCTTGAGTTCGGAGAGATTTTCCCCAACTGTGACAGTAGCACACCGTAAAGTTAATTCCCTTATCAGTCAACGGCTTTGTGGAAGACCCAGGTGGGGGATCTAAGACGGAACTGAGTACTTACAGACACACTAGAGCCTGCAAGTTCCCAAAGAGGAGGCTCAGAATTAGCAAATTAGGGCAGGGCACTTCCTTCTTTAGGAAGAAAGTTCCCTTTTTTTTTTTTTTCAAAGTTTTTCCGAGAGAACTTTTAGATTAGAGAAGTGGAAATGACTGGGAACTGCGTTTCTGTTCCACAAGACGAGCGAGTACTCCTCTGGTCAGAGCTCACACCCGTCTTACAGCATCTGTGGTCAAGGCCTTTGCCGACCGCGCTGACCTGCCTGCGCAATGTGTGGAGCCCAGTGCGCTGAGCTGGGGAATCTTAAGTACATACTCAATTCCCAGAAAAAGGAACTAGTGTTCAGAAGCCAAAAGAGGGGGAGGTGTTTTGTTTTCAGAAAGTCAAAAGGCCTGGAAGAAGAGCTTGCGGCCTGAGTGTCTCAAGCCTTTCTGGGGTGTAATCAGGCTTGAATATCGGCAACAGTCACATTCTTGTCACATTCTTGTCCTTGGTGCCGACTTAATGAGTTCAAAACACCAAGGGGTGGGGAAAGAACTTCTGTTTTTCTCCAACAGTGTGAAGAAGCAAATGACTTTAAGCTCAATTTCCTCATCCGTCAGGTAGGGGGTAAAGACTTGACGTCGAGGTTCCTTCCACTGCTACCTGTCTTCATTTAAATGTCCCAATAAACCACTCAAAGCGCCAACCTTACAGCCCACAAGGAATATGGAGGGCTCAGCTTCTGTCTAGTGCGCAGACTCCTGCCAGACCCCGCCCCCTTCATTTCCCGGCTTCTCCAGCAGAGGGCGCAGGCGCAAAGGTTCCGCCTGGGCCCGCCCCCGGGGGCAGGGGAGGGGTAGGCGGCGCGGAAACTTGGCCGCGGCTTTCCGGGAGCTGTGACTCGGGAGGGGGTGGCGCAGGAGCGGTCGCTACCCAGTCCGGACCAGGCCGCCGGCTTCGCCGAGCTCCGCGCGCTCCTCCCGCCCCCGGGCTCGCGCTCTTGGAAGGGGCGCGCCCGCGCGGACCCGCGCTCCCGTCGCCGCCCACTCCCCTCCCCGCGGCCGCCCCTCCCTCCGCCCGGACAGCGGGCGGTGGCGGCGGCGGCGGTGGCGGCCGGGAGAGGCCCCTCCTTCACGCCCTCCTTCTTTCCCTCGCTCGCAGCGGAGCGGAGCCGGCGGACGCGGCTGGGCCCCCAACCCTCCCCGGGCCATGGCCGGCAACGTGAAAAAGAGCTCCGGGGCCGGGGGCGGCGGCGGCTCCGGGGGCTCGGGCTCGGGCGGCCTGATCGGGCTCATGAAGGACGCCTTCCAGCCGCACCACCACCACCACCACCTCAGCCCCCACCCGCCGGGCACCGTGGACAAGAAGATGGTGGAGAAGTGCTGGAAGCTCATGGACAAGGTGAAAGGCCTGCCCGGGACCCGCGGGAGCAGGGGTGGGCGTGGGCGGAGGGGCCGAGGGAGGGGAAGGAAGGGACAGAGGAAGCTGGGGGGAGGGGACGGGTCATGCGGGGCTGGGGAGGCGAGGAGCTGGGGTGACCCAGCCGAGGGGTGGGGGACGTGGGGGTGGGGAAGAGACCGGGAGGGTGGGGGTCGGCGGTGGGGGAAGGGCTGCGGTTGGGAGTGGGGAACGTTGAGGTGCTGTATTTGGGGTAACGAGACAAAGATGGGGTGGGGGCTGGGGTGAAGGTTAACTGGGAAGCCACCAGAGCGGAAGTATAATGGGGGGGTTATGTTGAGGCTCTGCGGAGTCTAGGGATGTGGGTCACGAAATTGGCCCCAGGAGGTAGGAAGGGGGGGGGCAAAGAAAAGAGTGCGCGATGTACCGGCTGGGGCTGTTAGCTGGATGAGGAGTCGAGCTCGGACTCGGGAATTAACGTTGATGGGCTCTGACTGAGAGACCTGGGGTCAGGACAACTCCGCAGGCAAACTGCGCTCGCGGCGCGCGCACAGTTTTTTCTCGTTAAGATGTAACACCAAGATAAAAGAAATTTGGGATGTTTAAATGGGCCAAGGAAGGAACTTTCCTCCACGTCTAGCACTGGGGCAAGTTTTCATCCTCCAAAACATTGGATGGGATCCATTGCTGGTGCTGAGATTAAACCACAAGTTCTGGTTAGAACCATTATCTTCGGAAAGATGTATTCACTGAGCGGGCTGAACAGCAGCTTCAGGCTCCTTCCAGATTCTGGCTGCTTCCAGAACTTCCTCCTCACGCTGCTTTTAGCTGGGTTCTAGTTTTTTCGTGGTGGACCTGACTCCTGGCTTTAAGCTTGTTCCGTGAGCTTTGATTACCTTTTTTAAAGCAAGTGTAAAAAATACCCTTTTATATTTGGCGATTAAGTTTGCCGTTTGAGAGAATTTTACTTCTTCATTGTGTCCGTGGTAAAGAACTGTAGTGTTCCAGAGTACTTCAGAGTGTTTAAGCATTTCCAGAGAATTCAGTGCAGTGTTTCCTTAATATTTTTCACATTCATTAATTCATAGCTTATTTCTTGAAAAATTTCATATTGCCAGTGAAAAGTAATTAAGAGTATCTGGCATATTGTAAGAGAATGGTGTTATTTCCTCCAGAATAAACTTGGTTTTCTTTGGTTCCTCTAGGTCTAGGTTCCTCTTCTGTAAGTTCTTCATGGATTCTTTTGGAGGAAAACAGCTAATAAAAATGATTATGAAACACTTGGCAAATATAAATGTTCTGTATAAATGCTTAATAAGTCTGGTGCGTGAATTAACACTCCTGAAGTGCATACAAGTGGTTCCTGAGCCACTTTGGGTGTCTAGTGTTTCTAATGTTAAGTAATTTGGTACTGTAATGAATGATCCCAGTATTTGTATGTTCATTATATTGGTGGTGTAGTGCTAATTTCATTATTAGAAGTCATAATAAAACCATTACAGAAAGTTAGGCATGGAAAGGACACTTTGAATTCATTGACACTTTTAAAAAAATTACCCAATGTATTCAGTATCTGAAGTTTGTAGGGTTACATTTTAGAGATTTATAGGTAAGGACTAAGGTTCTCCCGGAATAGAAAAAAAATTTGTATTTTTAGTTTCTCGTTTAAGATGTGTGTATGCGGTATATCGAAACTGTTGAGACCTTTCCTTAAAAATGACAAACTTTTTCTCAGACTTTTGAATCTCTGTAAAGTAGTTCAGTAAGATCCTTCTTTAAGTTTTATTCCTTTGTTTCTTAAAGTATGTGTATGGATTTTTGATTTTTTGATGCAGAGTGTTTAATGGGGAAGAATACTCATTTTGAGTGCTTCTCAGGTTTTGATAGTTTCAGCGAAAGTGGGCACATAGCTTTTCCTTTCTAGTGTTGGGAGAGGAATGTTTTATTCTTGTGTTGCTTGTCCTGGAAGGTAATTTTTAGTACTCTTCTGTGCCCCATATCACATATTACTAATCATGCTGAAATAAAACTTAGTTCTTTCTGATGTATTCGTCTGATAGGTTCATACTGCTCTCCAGATTTTGGGTCCTTTCGTATTAGATTGAACTGTCTCTTCTATGCTTTCAGAAATGGTCTTTTTTTTCACTTTTTCATTGTTAGAGTCTTAAATGTGTTGGTAACCCTCCTTGTCTTCGTGTGGTATGATGTAAGTGGTAAAGAACTTAACTCTCAAATCCACAAGTGTCCCACACAGTTATTGAATTTGGTTCTTGTCACCTTCTATTTCCTGTTTTGTCCTTGTTATTGAAGCTAGGTGAATGTTACTCCAGCCTATTAATAATCAATTTATTGACTTTGCACTGGGAACTGTTGGTGTCCTCCCCCTCCCCCAATATTGAATATGTGCAGAAGGAGAAGTTGGCATAAGTCATGGGTTCTGGTCAACATAGGCCCGATTTTACTAATCCATTGTGGAACTTAAACTCATTTTTGGGAAAATGCTTGTCCTAGAACACTTGTTATTTAACAAAAGACATGGTCAGCCTCTGGGGTTTTTTGGTGCTAGCCTAGTATATTGTAATTAATATTTGTGTAAATGCTTGTGTGTGAAGAAAGTGGCTAGTAAGAGCCAAGTGGGCAGGGGAGTGGAGAGAGAAATCCTATAAATTGCCTTAAATGTCAGCTCGGAAGTATTGAAGTATTTAGTTTGGTGAGAGATTCAAAATTCTGTTAGGAAGTAGAGCAGGAGTTGGCAAACTTTTTGTCGAGGGACAGACAGTAAATATTTTAGGCTTTGCTGGACCCACTTAGTCTTGTTTTCTTTGCTGTTGTTTTATAACTCTTTAAAAATGTAAAAGCCGTTCTTAGCTTGCAGGTTTAATAGAAGGCTGGAGATTGTAGGTTGCCCATCTCTGGAGTAGAGCATCATGCTGGCTGTACTATGTCTGTACTATGTTTTTATTTTGAATTAGCTTATATCACTAGAACATGAAGGTGTTTGATTTTTTTTAATTTTTTTTTTAAAGATTTTATTTATTTATTTCACAGACAGAGATCACAAGTCAGACAGAGATCACAAGTAGACAGAGGCAGGCAGAGAGAGAGGAGGAAGCAGACTCCCTGCTGAGCAGAGAGCCCGATGCGGGGCTCGATCCTGGACCCTGGGACCATGACCATGACCTGAGCCGAAGGCAGAGGCTTTAACCCATTGAGCCAATGGGATATAATTTACAAAAGAATTTATGGGACACCTGGGTGGCTCAGTTGGTTAAGCATCTGACTCTTGGTTTCCGCTCAGGTCATGATCTCTGGGTCGTGAGATTGAGCCCTATGTCCGGTTCAGTTGGCAGTCAGCCTGAGGATTCTCGCTCTCTCCCTTCCCCCACCCCTCCCCCCAGCTCTCTGAAATAAATAAATATTTAAAAAAATTATAATTTCCTTATGATATATAAGGGGAAAAAGCTTCCTTTTAAGTCATGAGTTTAAAAAAGTATTTTTTTTTTTTTTAGATTTTATTTATGTATTTGATAGAGATCACAAGTAGGCAGAGAGGCAGGTAGAGAGAGGAAGGGAAGCAGGCTCCCTGCTGAGCAGAGAACCCGATGCGGGGCTCCATCCCAGGACCCTGGGATCATGACCCGAGCTGAAAGCAGAGGCTTTAGCCCACTGAGCCACCCAGGCGCCCCTAAAAAAGTATTTTCAAAAGGTGATTCTTCCTTCTACTACCTATCTTCTCTTTGTCCTACCTGCCCCCTCCCCCAAAAGTACCTTTCTATATTTTATTTTATTCTATTTTATTTTTTAAGATTTTATTTATTTATTTGACAGAGAGAGATCACAAGTAGACAGAGAGGCAGGCAGAGAGAGAGAGAGAGAGGGAGCTGAGCAGAGAGCCCGATGCGGGACTCGATCCCAGGACCCTGAGATCATGACCTGAGCCGAAGGCAGCGGCTTAACCCACTGAGCCACCCAGGCGCCCTGTACCTTTCTATATTTTAGAAGTAAGGTGCACTAAATAGAATTTATGATTCAGTATATTTCATTGGACTATTTCCTCCTTCCCTTCTCAGCTTCCTTCCTTTGCATGCTAAGTCCCAAGCATAGTGCTAGGTGTCAATTACCTTCCAGGAGATTACATTATAGTGATAAGGGACCATGTAAATGTGTACAAAGCGATATGAGATCTCTTAAGTTTAAACATAGCGTACATACAAGATTGTAAACTCCATGAGGACAGCAACTATAGTCTGCTAACCTGCAGTGTCCAGTCGTGAGGCTTACTCAATGGTAAGTGCTTTGTAAATATTTCATTTGTTTTGTAATGCTCGCTTCGGCAGCACATATATTAAATTGTTTTGTATGTTCCAAAGAAATAACTGAAAAGGAAAGATGTGGGGGTGGGAATACATTTTAATTACATTAAACTTCTTTTTTTGCAGTAGCCCTTTGCTGGTATCATGTGTGTCTTATAGAAGGAGGCAGTTAGGCTCAGAGAAGTTAGGTAATTTAATTTAGTGAGTTTGGAGGCTGACTTGGAATCCAGGATCACCTATTTCCTGAGGCTTCGTTATTCCCTCCATACAGTACCTTCTTAGGTATACAGCAGAGCCTCAGTAACAAAAAGCCATTTATTCAGAAAGTGACCTGTGTAGGTATAAAACAATCTTCACGCACACTTACGTTCCGCCATTCACACACTCAAGTGAAGTAGATGTTCTCTTGAGTGATACTAGGATAGCATTTAATATCATTCAGTGAAATATCATTTGTCTTCTACTTTCAGGTTAAGGGTTTGTGTCTTTCCAAATCATGTGTACCGGTTCCTTTGCATGGTGGTCTCAGAGGCCTGTGCACTTTATTTTCCCATTATACTAGTGCATGTTATCTCTGGTATCATTTATGACTTTTCTTTTTTCCATCTATTTTACCGTCCAGTAGAGCTCTTCAGGACCAAGGCTTTGTCTTAATTTCAGTTCCTGGGCCTGACATGGGGTAGTTGGTGA